CTGGGAATGTGTCCACAACCAAGGTACATGCCCTTGACCGGAATCGAACCTGGGACCTTCCAGTCTGCAGGCCGATGCTCTATCCACTGAGCCAAACCAGTTTCGGCTGTTTTTGGGTTTTTAAATTTAGTGAAATCTGGGAAGTTTTTACATAATTTATTTTATATGTTGCCATGATCCATTTTCATGATCCATATTTTTTACCTTATTTTCAAAGTTTGCTTATTTAAAATATCCAATTTAATAATGTCTTTTTAATAGTTTAATTTTATTTATTTAGTATTATTGTGAATTCTAATTTATTTAAGTAATTTTTAACTTATTTGTATTTTTTGCTTATTAATCATCTCTTTTCTTCATTTTATCTCCCTCATTAAGGTTAGGAGATTTTAACTACACACTGATAGTTCACTACCCCTACTTTTCAGGAGCGTGTGTGTGTGTGTGTGTGTGTGTGTGTGTGTGTGTGTTCTTTTGAAGCACCTCCTGGAATTAAAACAAGTCCTAAAGGAAAAAAGGAGGAAGAGGAAACACAATTAAAAATAATCAACTAAAGGTATTACAGAAAATTCATACATTGATGCATTCCTCTCTGCTCTAAATATATAGCAAACATAGATTTAAATAAAAAAGACAGAAAATTTGATACAGAAAGTATGATACACATCTCAAAAAACCTGAACCTTAAAATTAATAAAAATTTGTCAATTTTGCTCCTAAGGTAGTAATGACATCTAAGATAAACCCAAAACTTAATCCATGCAAACAGAAGATGAGAACTGTCTCACTGAGAGCTATTATTATATAGCTGCCTGGATTTATGGTTTTAGCAAGAGGCATGCCCATAGTGACAAGAGTTCACAAACAGAGATTTGTTACCAAGTAGTAAACCAAGCCTCCCATTGCTTCTGGTTAATATCAACAATCTCACAACAAAGTAGGACTCAAGAATAACCATTCAGAGATATAGTTTTCTTTTCCATGAAGCCTGAGGGATTAGAAAGAGGTAAGCACAAGAAGGAGGGAAAAGGAGCAGGAGGAGAAGAAATATAGTTATAAAAAAAAACTCAGATGAAGATAGCACAGTAATTTCATACATTGATATAATCTCCTCTGCACCAAACATATAGAAATGGTAGATTTAAATAGGAAAATAAATATAAGGTAAAAAACAAACAAAAATCCCATTAACATCAGATTAAATTTATAGCATAGGATTATCTGACAGTCTTGTAAATAATTTTAAAATGCCCCAAAAGATTAATGACAGTATAACTTCAATAAAAATGATGAAGAATACAATCATAAGAGAAAGTAATAAAAAATAAGAGCAGGTGGATAAAAAAAGGACAAATGAGAAGCCTAGATATTTTAAAATGCAATTGTTAAAATAAAAATTCAAATCCCAGACTAGAGACATTTGAAACTGAATTAATAAATTGGAATAAAGCATTATGTTATTCATCCAGCATGTAACTTTTAAAAAAAGAGAGTGAGTCCAGCTGGTGTGGCTAGGTGGTTGAGCATCAACCTATGAACCAGAGGTCACCGTTTGATTCCAGGTCAAGGAACATGCCTGGGGTTACAGGCTCGGTCCCCAGTAGGGGGCATGTAGGAGGCAGTCGATCAATGATTCTCATCATTAAAGTTTCTATCTCTCTTTTCCTCTCCTTTCCTCTCTGAAATCAATTTAAAAATTTAAAAATAAACAACAAAAGAAGAATAACTAAAATAAGCATTTAAAAGACAATGGATACAGTGGAGAAATTTGATACACATGACCTCAGCAAAATGATGGTCAAATTCAAAAGCTATGGTAATAGTATATACCACTGATATGATGTGATAAAAATGGCACATTATGTCTGTGGTTTTCCTTTCAAAACCCATAACTCCTGTCTAATCATGAGAAAAACATTAGACAATTTCCAATTGAAGGACATTCCAAAAAATAACTGACAAGCACTCCTCAAAACTGTCAAGGTCACCAAAAACGAGAGAAGTCTGAGAAGCTGTCATAACCAAGAGCAACTAAGGAGACATGAGAACTAAATCTAATATGGTATTCTGAGTGAGATCCTGGAACAGAAAAAGGATATTATGTGAAAGCATAAGAAAATATAAATAAATGTTGACTTTAGTTAGTAATATTAATATTGGTTTACTAATTCTAAGCAAGATACCATGCTAATATAAGATAACAAAAGGGAACCTAGGTGTACATATATAGAAACTCTACGATCTTCAATTTTTTTCTATAAATATAAAACAATTCAAAAAATAAAGTTTGTTTTAAAAGACATTGACAATTATATAAGAAGCTCCATAAAATATTTTACAGCAGTCATGAGAGATATAATGAAAGCGATACCAGAAAAACAATATTTGCAAAACTGTCACTGAGAATGAGAATTTTCCATAATTAAAGAAACATTAGTCTTGGGAATAAATGTACACTTCAACTGCTGAGGAGTAAAAAATGAATAATTAATTACATCTTGCATATAAAGAATTAAGCTAGAGAAATTCACATCAATACTAAAGTGAAAATTATAAAAAGCTTCCAGAGAGCATGTTATTTGCAAAATAATTACAATTATAGCTAGTTTTAAAAAAGGTAATATTAATAACCTAGACCCGTGGTCGGCAAACTGCGGCCTGAGAGCCACATGCGGCTCTTTGGCCCCTTGAGTGTGGCTCTTCCACACAATACCAGCTCTTCCACAAAATACCGACTTCTGCGCATGGGCCACGAAGTTTCATTCGCACTGTATGTTTGTGCCCCCACGTGGTATTTTGTGGAAGAGCCACACTCAAGGGGCCAAAGAGCCGCATGTGGCTCTCAGGCCGCAGTTTGCCGACCACGGGTCTAGGTTATTAATATTACCTTTTTTAAAACTAGCTATAATTGTAATTATTTTGCAAATAACATGCTCTCTGGAAGCTTTTTATAATTTTCACTTTAGTATTGATGTGAATTTCTCTAGCTTAATTCTTTATATGCAAGATGTAATTAATTATTCATTTTTTACTCCTCAGCAGTTGAAGTGTACATTTATTCCCAAGACTAATGTTTCTTTAATTATGGAAAATTCTCATTCTCAGTGACAGTTTTGCAAATATTGTTTTTCTGGTATCGCTTTCATTATATCTCTCATGACTGCTGTAAAATATTTTATGGAGCTTCTTATATAATTGTCAATGTCTTTTAAAACAAACTTTATTTTTTGAATTGTTTTATATTTATAGAAAAAAATTGAAGATCGTAGAGTTTCTATATATGTACACCTAGGTTCCCTTTTGTTATCTTATATTAGCATGGTATCTTGCTTAGAATTAGTAAACCAATATTAATATTACTAACTAAAGTCAACATTTATTTATATTTTCTTATGCTTTCACATAATATCCTTTTTCTGTTCCAGGATCTCACTCAGAATACCATATTAGATTTAGTTCTCATGTCTCCTTAGTTGCTCTTGGTTATGACAGCTTCTCAGACTTCTCTCGTTTTTGGTGACCTTGACAGTTTTGAGGAGTGCTTGTCAGTTATTTTTTGGAATGTCCTTCAATTGGAAATTGTCTAATGTTTTTCTCATGATTAGACAGGAGTTATGGGTTTTGAAAGGAAAACCACAGACATAATGTGCCATTTTTATCACATCATATCAGTGGTATATACTATTACCATAGCTTTTGAATTTGACCATCATTTTGCTGAGGTCATGTGTATCAAATTTCTCCACTGTATCCATTGTCTTTTAAATGCTTATTTTAGTTATTCTTCTTTTGTTGTTTATTTTTAAATTTTTAAATTGATTTCAGAGAGGAAAGGAGAGGAAAAGAGAGATAGAAACTTTAATGATGAGAATCATTGATCGACTGCCTCCTACATGCCCCCTACTGGGGACCGAGCCTGTAACCCCAGGCATGTTCCTTGACCTGGAATCAAACGGTGACCTCTGGTTCATAGGTTGATGCTCAACCACCTAGCCACACCAGCTGGACTCACTCTCTTTTTTTAAAAGTTACATGCTGGATGAATAACATAATGCTTTATTCCAATTTATTAATTCAGTTTCAAATGTCTCTAGTCTGGGATTTGAATTTTTATTTTAACAATTGCATTTTAAAATATCTAGGCTTCTCATTTGTCCTTTTTTTATCCACCTGCTCTTATTTTTTATTACTTTCTCTTATGATTGTATTCTTCATCATTTTTATTGAAGTTATACTGTCATTAATCTTTTGGGGCATTTTAAAATTATTTACAAGACTGTCAGATAATCCTATGCTATAAATTTAATCTGATGTTAATGGGATTTTTGTTTGTTTTTTACCTTATATTTATTTTCCTATTTAAATCTACCATTTCTATATGTTTGGTGCAGAGGAGATTATATCAATGTATGAAATTACTGTGCTATCTTCATCTGAGTTTTTTTTTATAACTATATTTCTTCTCCTCCTGCTCCTTTTCCCTCCTTCTTGTGCTTACCTCTTTCTAATCCCTCAGGCTTCATGGAAAAGAAAACTATATCTCTGAATGGTTATTCTTGAGTCCTACTTTGTTGTGAGATTGTTGATATTAACCAGAAGCAATGGGAGGCTTGGTTTACTACTTGGTAACAAATCTCTGTTTGTGAACTCTTGTCACTATGGGCATGCCTCTTGCTAAAACCATAAATCCAGGCAGCTATATAATAATAGCTCTCAGTGAGACAGTTCTCATCTTCTGTTTGCATGGATTAAGTTTTGGGTTTATCTTAGATGTCATTACTACCTTAGGAGCAAAATTGACAAATTTTTATTAATTTTAAGGTTCAGGTTTTTTGAGATGTGTATCATACTTTCTGTATCAAATTTTCTGTCTTTTTTATTTAAATCTATGTTTGCTATATATTTAGAGCAGAGAGGAATGCATCAATGTATGAATTTTCTGTAATACCTTTAGTTGATTATTTTTAATTGTGTTTCCTCTTCCTCCTTTTTTCCTTTAGGACTTGTTTTAATTCCAGGAGGTGCTTTTGGCCAGCTTCTGGGAGGTGTCATTGCTTCCAAGTTACAGATGTATTGTAAAGGCCGTATGAGCTTTACAATGGTTACATCTGCTATATCACTTGTACTGGTTACGCTTACAATGTTTGTACGCTGTGAACCAATGCCATTTGCTGGGATCACTGAAGATTATAACGGGTAAATATAATTTTGTATATTAGATATTTACATCCAAACCCAACAACGTATTTTTTAGTCAATTAAAGATTATGTATCCATTGACTTTTATTTATATCTTTATCATTCTTAGAATTATTGAACATATAAAAAAAGTAAAGCATAGTTTTACCTTTCATATTAAAGGCAGAAACATAACAATGATAGCTTATTACATGGTTGTTTATACATTCATAAAATACTAAAGGAAAAACACATTGAAATGATTCAGAACCTATAAGTAGAATTCTGTCCTAAGGTGGCTAGCAATGCAGAATAGTACTGTCTGTACAAAGCAAGACTTACTTTGTGTTCTGAGTTGGTATGTCTGCCTTCTTAAAGACGTCAAAGAATAGAATTAAAGTATATCTGAAAGTATGCATGAGTAATGTCTCCTTTAAGCTAAACATACAAAAATTCAAATAACTTGGCAGAGATTGACATTAAATACAGGGGAACAGAACTGGAACTGGAAACCAAAGAACTAAGCAAGGAAAACATGAAAATAAACTTCCACTTCCAGCTACAATGGACTAGCTTAAGGCAGACCATTGCTCTCACTGAGAATACTAGTAACTAGAAAAGCTGTATAAAACTTTTAAAATTTTGTTTAAAGCTGCTTGGACAGCTAGGAATTTAAAAGCCAAAATCCTGAGAAAGGCAAACCTTTGAGAGGAGGAGCAACCTTCTGTAGTTCTCCTTCCCACCCCACCCCTCTCTGAGGATATTTGCTAACTCTGTATATTAGTGAGAAACTGAGAGTTTGGACACAGGATCCGGGCAAGAAGCATTTAATAATATGACAAGGAATTAGCACAAGTTTTTGACCTATGATTCCAAAGAGACCAAAATAAGAGCATGGGGCAGGGCAGAATATCAGAGAGAAGAGAGAGTTAGACAAATGAGATAACACTCTATTGGGTTTTCACTCAATTAGGAAGCTAAGAGGCTGAAATTGAGCAGAATCTTGTAAAAAGCAGAGAAAAATGTTATCAGTATTGTAATTCTCTTTACATAAGGGATTAATGTGCTGGTGAGATTAGAATGTGTTAGGGAAGGAACTTTGGTGGACACATGTTCTCAATGAAAGGCTAAGACCAATGAGTGAGGGCCTTTCTAAAGTAGTATAGCCTAGCCAGGAATTAATTTGTCCTCTAATTAGATTGATGTGACCAGCAAGCATTCTACATAGAAGCAAAAAGAGACATCCAGTGCTCTGCACAAAAGATAATATATAGAGCTATAAATTATCTTTGGCAAAAATTTGCATTAAAAAAATTACCAGGCAGGCCAGGGACATGGTAAAAATCCATGAGACAAAACAGATGATAGAATAGACCCACAGGGTATCCAGATATTGAATAACATAACATGTTTGACTGTGTGGGACCACTGACTGTATATTTTTTTTCAATAATATACATACAGTCAGCCCTCTGTGTCCTTGGGTTTCACATCTGCTGATTCTCAACCGTGGATGGAAAACAGTATTTTTTATCTGAAGTTGGGAATCCACATATACAGAGGGTCAACTTAAGTTATTATGTAGATTTTGTAGACTTTCAATTGTGTATGGGTTGGTGTGGATATCTTGATGTATACATTAATAAATATACCATGGCATTATAATTACATTCAATCTCTTTTTCTACAGAACAGGGCAGTTGGGAAACCTGACAGCCCCTTGCAATTCTCATTGTAAATGCTCATCTTCATTTTATTTTGCTGTATGTGGAAGAGACGATATTGGATATTTTTCTCCTTGCTTTGCAGGCTGTAATAAATCTAAAACATTTAATAATGAGAAGGTAATTATTTTGAGTTATGCTTCTTTCTCTCCAGTAAGGGGTTGAGCTTGTGGATGATGTTTACATTATGGTAGCACTGCACATAATTTAAAATTGAACATTTGTTATCCCTTTTTGTTCTTTGATATTTACATGAATCAGGTCTCATTTTAAAATTCCCCTATATGTTCATTTTTGGGGCCATTTCTGTCAGAATTCCTTATTTCCCTGGGTCTTTTACCAACTTATGACAATTTTATTTTTGTCATGGAGAGCAGCTAAACACTCAGCTACTTGTTTGACTCCAGGTTCATTTTATTATATCCAAAGTTGCATAAATGAGCTTTTATCTAAGTAATGGACTGCAACTTCAGCTTCTCCCCTTTAAGGAGAACAGCAGGGACTCAGGCTGTAAAAATTCAGTTTCTCTCTCCCTTCTCTGGCTAGTTTTATAAAGGGGAGAGAAACAGAGACATGTATTTCCTGACATATAGACATCATACCACCTCCCTTATTAAGCAGTAAAGTCCTTTATTAGTTATGTAATACATAACAATATTTTTTGCCCTATTACACAGCTCATTTCATTATAATATATTTGCATACCTGTCCAACTTTTAGTTCCTCATGATCACCTTTCAATGGCTTATGATTTAACTAGAGGCCCGGTGCATGAAATTCATGCACTTGCGGGGGAGGGACAGTCCCTCAGCCCGGCCTGTGCCCTCTCACAGTCTGGGAGCCCTCAGGGGATGTCTAACTGCTGGCTTAGGCCCACTCCCCATGCTCGCCAGCCATGAGCCAGGCTTCTGGCTGAACGGCACTCCCCCTGTGGGAGTGCACTGACCACCAGGAGGCAGCTCCTACATTAAGCACCTGCCTCCTGGTGGTCAGTGCGCATCATAGCAACCGGTCCTTCTGCCGTTCAGTCGATTTGCATATTACTCTTTTATTATACTAGTAAAGGTTCATATATCTTCAGTTTTTTATTGACTACTAACATAAAAAGGTTGCATACCCTTTAAAAATTATTATATGTTACACTATATATTTTAAACCTTTAAAACATGTTACTGTGTAAAGCATTAAATGTAATAGAAAAGTTAACAAATTCCTATATGCCAATCACCCATCTTCAACAATTTATTAACTTATAGAAAATGTACTTTATACTCCACTTACTTCCTCTCCTCCATTTTTGTCTGAAATAAGTAAATGACTTGTAAATGCTCATGTTGTCACCACAGTATAAAACAGAACATTTTCTTTTGTGAGGGAATTGCTTTTAATGATTTTTTTTGTATTTATTAAAAAATTTTATGATTTTCTTGTATTTCTCTAAGGAATAATTCATAATGAATAACAGTGATAGAAATAACCAACAAAATAGTCAAACTGTGTGACAACATTTGATACTAAATAAAAATTGAAAGAAGAATAAAATATTTTTGAGAATTTTTATAAGACTTTATTTAAGTCAAATTGATGACACATGCTGGAGAGCAAGATCTTAAATGGTCCCAGAATAAAAATTTTTTGACAAAAATTAGATCTCTTCAAAATTACCCAGGCCCTAGATGGTTTGTCTTAGTGGATAGAGCATTGGCTGTGGACCAAAGGGTTCTGGGGTTGAATACAGTCAAGGGCATGTACCTCAGTTGCAGGCTTCTCCCCAGCCTGGGCCCTGTTCAGGGCATGTGCAGGAGGCAACCAATCGATGTGTTTCTCTCACATCAATGTTTCTCTCTGTCTTTCCCTCTCTCTTCCACTCTCCCTAAAGATGAATGGAAACATATCTTCCAGTGAGGAGTAACAAAAAAACAACAACAAAAATTACCCAGGACACCCTTAGCCTTGGTAGAAAGAATGGCTCTGAAGGAAAATTGACAATAGCAGAAGCTATGATTAGTACAATTTTATATGGATGCAACTGATTAATGGATAAAATATGCATTATTTCAAAGGGGGAAAGAATTGATACCAATAAAAATCATTTTAAACAAAATCAAAATTAAATACTAGTAAAAGAAACATCATATACAAAAATGATCAAGTATCTAAATGATGTTAATGGAATTCCCTCTGGAAAGTATTTTTTCAATGAAAATATGTCAACTTAGAAATAATTCTGATTAATTGTTCATTTTCAAAATTTGATCAGGGTCAACATGAGTTAGAATTGGATGCTCTCTAATTGCACTTATGCAAAAATTTGCAAAGGAATGGTGAACATACTATACCTCTGAATATTTCTCATTTCCTATAGAAAATTCACAGCTTTACTAAAACTGAAAATAGATATATCCCCTTCATATTGATATTATTCCTGAGCATTTTTGCCTCATTGAGACCCATATGTATTCTTCTTATCTATGCCACCAAAGATCTTCAAATTTCCTTACATAGATGTAAAAGAAATCTTGTGTTTTCTTAATTTTCTCATTGGGGCTAGTTCTTTTCAGCAGCTGATATAGCTATTATTATAAAACTAGAAGCCTGGCCTGCACCCTCTCCAATCTGAGACCCCTCGGGGGATGTCTGACTAAATCAGCAGATGGACATTCCTCTTGAATCCGGGACTGCTGGCTCCTACCTGCTCGCCTGCCTGCCTGCCTGATTGCCACTAACCCCTCTGCCTGCCTGCCTGATTGCCCCTAACTACCTCTGCCTGCCTGTGGCCTGATTGCCTCTAACTGCCCCCCTGCCAGCCTGATAGCCCCTACCTTGCCCCCTTGTCGGCCTGATTGCCCCTACTTTGCCCCCCTGCCGCCTGATCACCCCTAACCACCTCGGCCCCCACCCCTAGGTGGGAGGGTGGGAAATTTAGGTGCATCTTAGAATTCTGCCTACCAGAGACTACAAATAGACCTTTCCACTGAGTCCAATACTCTTATTCTTTTCTCTATTTTTCCATCTCCTTTCACCTGTTTGTTTAAATGTAGATACTTTCTGTTGACTTGTCGCATTCTCTATTCTCCAGTATCTACTTTTAAGCCCAGTAAGAGGTTCTAAGTTTACTCATCATATTTTTCCGTTCTAACATTTATGTTTTTGTAGAATCCAAATCCTGTTAAATTTCACATCGTTTAAGATATTTTATCCACTTTACCCTCCATTTAAAAAAATTCAGAGTGATTTTAAAGTTCTTGCTATTAAGTCCACTATCTAGATCAACTCTGAGTCTACTTATATTTGTTTCTCTCTTACTTTTAAGCTAAATATTCTTATCAGTTTGCAAGCCTTGTAATATTATATTAAATCCTGAACGGTGTGTATGAAAAATATCTCCTAATATAATTATTATTTGGCTTCATGTATTTTCAGGCTGTGCTATTATGTGCATAATTTTTGATAATTGTCACATCTAATTGTTCCTTTTATCTTTATAAAATCTCTTTTTCCATCTCTGGTAATACTCTTGTCTTTAAGTAATATATTAAATTTTATATATTAAATAGTCACTCTAGCTTTTTCTTGCTGATTGTTTCCATGGTGCATCTTACTTCTATCATTTTATTTTTCAAATATTTGTGTCTTTATGTGTAAAGTGTCTCTTGTAGCCAGCATAGAATGTGGTTTTGCTTTTTCTTCAATTTTGTTAATCTGTCTTTTAATTGGAGTTTTTAGAGTATTGACATTTATTATAATTATTGCCATGGTGGGTTAAGATATAGCTTCCTGATCACAGGTGTGGCTCAGTGGTTGAGTGTTAACCTATAAATGAAGAGGTCATGGTTTGATTCTTGGTCAGGGCACATGCCCAGGTTGCAGGCTCGATCTCCAGTGTGGGGCATGCAGGCAATCAATCAATGATTCCCTCTCATCATTGATGTTTCTATCTCTCCCTCCCTCTCTTTCTCTCTGAAATCAATAAAAATGTATTTTTAAAAAGACCTACCTTCCTTTTTATTGTTTGAATTAAATATATTTTACTATTTCATTTTGATATAACTTTTGGCATTTTAGTTATATCTCTTTGAATATAATTCCATAGTTCTTTGATCCTCCCAGAGCCTGATATCTTGTGATTCTATAATCTGTTCACTAAATCTTCTTCATATTTTCACTTCGGCCCTTAGTCAGCCTAGATTCTATAGCCTCCAACCATTTGTTGTACTAGATATCTTATGTCTGACATCCACATCTACTTTTCATCTTTCTTTACCCTCCTCATTGTTCCAGGAGACTGATCTATAGGATGAGAGCTCTTTTGCCTTCCAGCTTCTGACTGGATTAAAATAATGAGTTCTAGTGGAAAAATCAGAAAGATGGTGAAAAACAGTGAAGTTGTGTTTATTGTTTTGGTTCTCTCTCTGAACCATGGACTAATGGCCTCTCTGGACAGAAGGTCTTAGTTTCTTTCAGGGAAGCCTCCACATGACTTTCTCCTTTTGATAAACACTTCTACTCTAAAACCCTTCAGAAAATCCATTCAAATCGGGGCAGGCTGCTCATGAGGCTGCTGTTCCTCGGAGGGAGAGAGAGAGAAAGAGAGAGAGAGAGAGAGAGAGAGAGAGAGAGAGAGAGACATCAATGATGAGAGACAATCATTGATTAGCTGCCTCCTGAACGCCCCCACTGGGAATCAAGCCTGCAACCTGGGCATGTGCCCTTGACCGGAATCGAACCCGGTACCCTTCAGTCTGCAGGCCGATACTCTATCAACCAAGCCAAACTGGCTAGGGCTTGATTCAAGAGATTTTTAACTATTGTCTCTGCTTTCATCTTAACAATCATAGATGAGACCAGTAGTCTCAATATAATAGCTAAGTAACATTTTAAAATATCATCTATAATAATAAAAGTGTAATATGCTAATTAGACCAGATGTCCTTCTGGACGAAGCTGGGGCTGCGAGGGAAGCTGGGTTTTGGGTGCCTGCTGGCAGCTGGAAGGAAGCCTGGGTCCCAGGTGCCAGTGGCCAGAGGGAAGCCTGGGTCCCGGATGCCAGAAGGAAGCTGGTGCCAGCAACCAGGGGAAGGAAGGCCTACTCTTGCATGAATTTCGTGCATCAGGCCTCTAGTCCTATACAATAAGTGAATATGCAAATCGACCAAACAGCGGAATGACCGGTTGACAGGGGGTGGGGCTGGCGAGCAGGCAGCACCAGGCCAGCCAAGGTGCGTGCCAGCAGGCAGAGGGAGGGGATAGTGATCAGGGGGCAGTGGTGACCAGCAGCGGCGGAGAGGCAACTGGTGGGGGGGTGGGGCCGGCCACTCGCCGGCCACGCTGTTCCCTGATCAGCCCACCTGGTCGCCTCCTGCAGAGGGAGGCCAGACTGCAGCTTAGACCCCAGGGAGCAGGCCTAAGCTGTCAGTTGGACATCCTCTGAGGGCTCCAGGACTGTGAGAAGGTGCAGGCCAGGCTGAAGGACCCCTCCCCCTGCTGAGTGGACGAATTTTCGTGCACCAGGCCTCTGATTTATACATATATTCCTCCAATGGTTTCACATTACTAAGTTTAAAAACCAAAGTTCTTAAATTGGTCTTGTAATTATTTATCAGTTTTTATATAATCAGTCCTCTAGTCCTATATAATAAATGTGTATAATCGAATCTCCTCTCACTACTCCAATTTTATTTTTTCTTCAGTTTACTTCATGTTAGCTCTGCTTTAGCCACATTTTCCTCCTTGCTTTTCTTAAGCATGATTTTGTTTTTCTATCTGGGATGTACTTTTTTCAGATAACCAATGGTTCCCTCCCTTACCTTCTTCAAATCTCTGCTCAGTTTATATTGAGTCATTGAGGTAGTCACTCATTATGATAAGTTTACCCCTAGGAGCCCTTACTTTCTATTGTATTGTTTAGTGTGTTTTCACAACACCTAGAATGATGTTTAGTATTTAGTACAGAAGCACTAAAAAAATATGGTGGAATGAATAACTTGGCAGTTTGGATATTTCTTTTCTTTCTCTCTTTCGCTCTCTTTTTTTTAAAGCATATTTAGTAACTACTTAGTAACTCCTACAAATAAACTGAGATGATTTTTGGAGCATCATTTTATGAATCAATCAGATTCAAGTCATTTTTTTTAAATTAATTAATTTATTTTTTAAATTTATTTTTCATTGATTCAAGTCAATTTTCTTACCTCTTATACCTTCACTAGTAACCTAGTTCCATATTTCTGTTGAATTTATGATAATTTTTTAAACTAGAATATTTTAAATAGATTAGTAAATTGCTAACTGATCTCTGTATCTTCAAACTCTGTTTAGTTCTTTGAAATATCACTTTTTCATCTTTCTTGAATTATCAACCCTACAACTACTACCCCAAATTTTCATTGGCTCCCACTTAGGGATATATTGTGACTTTCATTGGCCCTATGTACTTTGCCTTTATAAGCAAAAAGAAAAATTTAATTAAATTAATTTTTAAAAATCAATGTATACCTGTATTAGTATGAAGACAAATATGATCCAGGCTGGATTCATTATTATTATATTCATTTAAAAAATTTTAAAAGACACTAGAATTACAACAGTTGTATGTGTCCTTAATGTATTAGTGCCCTAAACAAGGCCTACTCTGCTGAATAGATAATAGCCCTGCCATCATTACATACAAAATAAAGCCTTATCTTTGCAGTATAGTCCCAAAACCTTCCACAGTTGGGTAACTGTCCATATTTCCAATCTCAGCTAAAGTTAAATTTTATTACATTATACTTAATTGCCCTCAATTTACATAGTTCTCCAAAAATTATTTGTGCAATTAGGTGTAAATATTTTTGGTGGAATTTCTTAAATTAATAGAATTTTCCCTAACAATAATTACACACACACACACACACACATGAGTCTTCGCTAGGTAAAATAGCTTGGACATGTCATTAATGTTTCATTTCTAAATGATGACTGGCAGATTTAATGTAAGGGCATTTACTGATACAACTGGCTAGTCTCCATGTTGTTATTGATTGGTTTTATTTTACAGTAATAAGTTTTTGCTTTATGATTATATTTCTAAAAGATAATTTTCCATCTTATTTATCATAGACATATTTCAGTTGTTCTTGCATTGATGAAGGAATAGCAATTTCAGATGAGCAAGGTGATTTTATTGATGCCAACGCTGGGGCATGTGTATCAAGTTGCTATAAATTACCTATGTTCATTGTTTTTGTCTTTTCTACGATTCTATTTGCTTGTTTTTCTGTTATACCGAACATGCTGACCATCCTTCGGTATGTATATTATTATTCATACTAATTGTTTTTTAGTATATAAGAAGACAATTTTAGGAAGCTTTACAATATTGTAGTAAATGGTTTACTCTTTTGTTTCACTGTAGGAACTGCTAGAGGGGAAATTCTTACATTGTCCAAATTAATGTGCAAGTTTAATTCTCTATTTTAGCTAATTTATTTGCATAAAGCCCATTGATATCAAATTTAGTTCAAATTAAGTAATTAACTTTAATTTAACATGGAAAATTCATATATAGGTAAATTGTTACATCATCAAAATTTATGTGTATGTCTAATTCTTTATCTAATGTATTTGCATAGTCTATAGATAACCCATTTAGTTTAGCTTTATCTTAAAACAAAACTAAATTTAAATACTTAATTTACCACACCTTGAAAATTCATAAATATAGGAAAGTTCTTAATTATAACACAGATCAAATTATGATGTTGAGTCATTGGTTATAGATACTTATTAAATATTTACTTCTCTAGTAGCCAGTTTAACTATGAGAAAACATCAGTATTATCAACAAAGGGACACAATTTTTAGAATTTTGCTACATATATTTATTAAAATAACATTGTTATTCCTTTGTTTTTCCAGAATATATAAAATAGACAATACAATATTTTTATCACAGTAACAGAAAAATGGGTCATTATTTTAAATTTATTTTTTCCCAGGGGCTAACTTAAAAATTTAAGTCATGGGGAGCAATTTTTTTGCCCCCTAAGAAAGTAGACTAGAGAACATGAATAAATATGTGCAGAAATAAAATCTGAATTGGGCACATGTGGTCTCTGCTTTTAATGAGCTTACAATTTTTAAAAAATGTAATATAAATTTGAGAGAGAGAGAGAGATGCTTTCCACTTATTTATGCATTCATTGGTTGATTTTTGTATGTGCCCTAAACCTGATACCTTGGCTTATCAGGACAACACTCTAACCAACTGAGCTACTGGGCCAGGGCAATGAGCTTGCAACTTAAATGGGAGATGAAACCTGGACATAAAAATATAGGAAGCAGATTTTTTATTACTTATACATATATATGTCTGGCACTGAAACTATAAGGACCAATAAGATATGAACATTGACATTAAGTTTGATTAGAGTTGAATAGGGGGAGAAAAACATTTAAAAAGAAGTAGATTGAATAGTTAGAGGTGCCTTGATTAAAGCTTGTAAATCTAACCCAGAACAAAGTGAAGAAAATGGTAATTTTTACCTAGGAAAATTTAGAAAACTTACAGAAGATATGGCACTTTAACTAAGTTATGAAGATAAGTGATTTCTCATAATGCAAGCGGACTTGGGACAAGTTTTCAACAGGAAAAGTGAGCAGTGAAAGTAGAGGCAAAATGCATAAAATATGTGGGCAAGGAGTTTTGTTATGATAGGAGTAGCATGATGGTGAAATGGGACAAAGAGATTTGAGCTTCCTAAGGGCCTAATAATGGTTGGTTTTCTTTGCCATATTAATGTGAATGATGTTATCCTGTGTATACCTCGAAGTCATTGACAATAAACTTCAGAAGTAAAAGTGACCAAATATGCATATTATTTATTTATTAATTTTTCAAATATGCATTTTAGATAGAATACCTTGAAAATAGTGTGGAAGGTGATGCAAGAGGGAAAACTGTAAAAGAGGAAAGAACTTAGGATATAATTTTATTTTATTTCTACTTTTTTTAAAATTTTGTTTTATTGCTTAAGGTATTACAAAGAGTATTACATGTTTCTTTTTTTTTCCCCTTGACCTTCCCCCAGCCGCCCCTACACCCCATTGTCTTGTGTCCATTGGTTATGCTTATATGCATGCATACAAGTCCTATTTCTTCTTATTATTTTTATTTATTTTTCTTTTTAAAAAATCTTTATTTTTGAAAGTATTACATAGCTCCTCCTTTATTCCCCATTAACCTCTTCCAGCCCACTCCCATCTCTCCCCTCTTCTTATTTTTTAGACTTTTAAAAAATTAAATCTTCATTGTACAAAGTATTACATATGTCCTCCTCCTCCCACCCCCCATTGATCCTTTATAACCTGTCCCCACCCCCACCCCAGGCCTTCACCTTCCCTGTTGTCTGTGTCCATGGGTTATACATATATGCATTGAAGTACTTTGGTTGATCTCTTTCCACCCAACCACCCTCTCCTGCCTTCCCTCTGAGATTTCCCAGTCTGTTCTATGCTTCTATGCCTCTGGTGGGAATGCAGACTGGTGCAGCCAGTATGGAAAACAGTATGGAGTTTCCTCAAAAAATTAAAAATGAAACTCCCATTTGACCCAGTGATCCAACTTCTGGGAATATATCCTAAGAAACCTGAAACACCAATCAGAAAGAATTATGCACCCCTATGTTCATAGCAGCACAATTAACAATAGCTAAGATCCGGAAACAGCCCAAGTGCCCATCATTAAATGAGTGGATGAAAAAGCTGTGGTACATGTATACCATGGAACACTATGCAGAAGTAAAAAAGAAGAATCTCTTACCCATTGAGACCTCATAGAGGGACCTGGAGAGTATTATGCTAAGTAAAATAAGCCAGTCAGAGAAAGACAAGTCTTATATGATCTCACTCATATGTGGAATGTAATTAACAAAATAAAGTGGTAAACAGAATTCATCCAGAAACACAGAAGCGTGAAACAGAGTGAGGAATCTCTAAAAGAAGGCTGGGGGAGGGTTGGTGTGTGGAAAAAAAACATATTTCAAAAATAATAATAATAATAATAAGGAAATAAAACAATGGGTGTGTGCCAAAGAATGAAGAAAGAGAAGTGGGGAAAGTACGATTTTTTTTTTTTCAGGATGCTGGGGCAGGGAGTTGGGCCATAACTGCTTCCTTCTTGTGAAGAGCAAAATATTTGGAATTGGTTGGCAAGGGGCAGGATATGGAGAAATGGGAGGAGTTGTAATTCTTTAATTGAAGCAGATCAAACTCCGTTAATTGGCCAAAGATTATTAGTTTAATTCATACACAGGAAAAAAATTAACCTTGAATCTAGAAAACATTCTCTGTAGCTAATAAAAACAATGTTTTAATAATATTGCTATTTGGTTGCAGGACTGTACCTGACAAACAACGTTCTCTGGCCTTGGGTTTGACCTATATGATTGTGAGAACTTTTGGTATGAACTTTTAGCAATTTATTATTGCATTGAAATGTTCATATTTTCATGTATCTATATGTTTACATGTACACTTACAATTTCAAACAGATAATAATGGCAAACAGCAAAGCAAGTGAATGGGGGAGTTGCTTTGTAGAAATTCGGAGACAACACAATGTAAAAAGATAATATAACTCATCCTGTCACATAAAATATGCATTAATATTATATTCAAGTAGAGGCCCAACACAAAAATTTTTCTGCACTCAGGGAGGGGGGGGGTCCCTTAGCCCGGCCTGTGCCTTCTCACAGTCTGGGACTCCT